GCTCAGAATAAACAACAATATTATAACGCGAGCTTAATTGCGCCAGAGGGCTCGGTAACGGGCGCATAAATCGGAGCAGCGAGCGCGCGCGCCCTCGAAACTACCCTCTCCGCGTCTTTCTCTCTCTTTGCCTTCGTCTTCGTCCCGCAGATTCGCCACCCCTACAACGTGTACCAGTCTTCCACGAGCCGCTCTCGGAGTAGGATTCATTTACAATAAACATGTCCTCCGCTAATTTCGTCGGCGGAAAAGGAGGAATCTCCAGAACGGAGGAGCGTCTTAACCGTAACGTACGTCGACGTTTCTACCTTCTCGTTCAGAGGAGACGATCATTCGTTAGAGGGAGATCGCGAGTTGTTCGTTATCGGGGATAACCTTAGCGGAACCATCGAGTTTCCGAATTTCTACGCGGATACCGCGTACTTCTCGACCATTCGTTACCGTTCCGCGCCGAGCCGTGCCGCGCCGCGCCATCCTCGGAGCACGGAAAAAATTTTAATTAAATAAACCAACTCGTTGCTCGACCGGCTCGTTCCTTTTATTTCCTTTCCCCGATTCGGTTTCTTCCCTCGTTACCGTGGTACGGAACGCGCTAGTTACCCCGCTTTCGCCAAGTATTCGCAGACTTATCGAGAAGAACGAGTCGACGCTCGGCGTATCGGACCGCGATTTCGCTCGAACGGACGGATGGACGAGGCAGGGATTGGCCGAGAAAAGGGGCGAGAAAAGCAAGAGTGCGAGGGCGTCGGAGGACGAAAGGTTGGGCTTCGGGGGATGCGGTGTTTCGAAAAGAGTCGGCAAACGGTCGGGAAGGAAAGGAGAGGCAAAAGAGGAGCGGGTTAGGTCTGGGTTACCGGCCGGCGGCTATATCTACGCGTCCTCGACCGCAGGCCTGTTTTATTTTATGAATCGCAATATTTCACGCGACAACTGGACTCGCGGGGCGGTCACCGCTAAACCGTCTGCATACGGGAGCCATGCTTACCGCGTGCCACGCCATACCGAACCGTACCACACCGCGTACCATCGCTACCGACCACCATTGCCACCACGCGGAACGAAGAAAACCCGTGCTTAGTACGCGCGCGTTTCTACACACGCATACGCGCGCCTTTCTGCGCGCATTCTTGCGACACAATGCGCGCACGGCAGACACCTATACGGCGGACACTAATACATTTCGATGCGACGAATGCGGTGCAACAGCGTCGCATTGTTCCTCGGGGGGCATGCAGAAATCTTTCCTCCTTTTTCTTTTCTCCTCGTGGTCCGGCTCGACTCGGCCC